GTTAAAACATTCCCCCTTTTTCTTTTTTTTCCATGACAGGGTTTCTCTATGTAGCTTTGGACCCTGTCCTGGAACTCACTGTGTAGACCAGGCTGGCCCTGTTGTAATTAAAGGCATGCACCACCGTGCCCGGCAAAACATTCCCTTTTTAATCGGCTGTTAGATATTTCCTGTCTGCTGGTGCCCCCCATTCTCTCCTACTCTCCCCATGCCTGTGGCGGGACATGCTGCCTAATGCACAGGCTTTTGTTGAGATGTGAGCGCTCTCCAGAGGCTGGGCCTTGCCCCAAACCCAAAGCACGGGACAGTGCTGGTGTCAGTCAGCCTTTCTGCTAGACTGGAGGTTGCTGGCTGGTATGTGCTCGAAGCTGTCACCCTGGGCTTGGGCCAGACACGTGGAGAGTGTGTCCTTACACCTCTGCCTCGTGCCAGCCATCCGTACGCCCCAGAGGCTGAATTTTCCCTTGGGCTCATGTTGCTTGGCTCGGAACAGGCCACTGGATCTGTCAGGTACTACAGAAAGTGTGCCAGGGTCCTGACCCATTTCACCACCGTCCCGTGAGTTTATGAGGCAGGGCCTGGAGCAGAGCCTCTGAGAACTGGCTGGAGAGGCACAGTAAAGCCGCTCTGTGACGTGTCACCAGACAACTAGTGAGTGAGTGAGTGAATGAAAACCTTATTGAAGACTCGGAACACAAATGGCTGCAGTCTCTGTAGTAGAAAAGGTGTGATGCTGGGTGGTGTGCACCTGCCTGGGGTACAGTGAGCTCCAAGCCAGCCAGCTACACAGTGAGCCGCTGTCTCAGAGAAACAAGCAGATAAAATAGTGGTGTTTGATATTGGGTGGATGAAAAGGCAGGTGAGCTTGCTTACTACGCAAGCCAGTCTGCCTGAGTTAAGTCCCCAGAATGCCCAGCGTGTCTGTCTGACCTCCATGGCACGCACGCTCACTCATGCACAAATACATTAATAATAAACAAAATTTTACAAAGGAAAATAGCGATATGCTATCTAGATGATGCAGTCCAGGTGACCTACCCTTAATGGGACAACATTAGTAAAATGAAATTATTCTATATTGAACGTTGGAAAATTAGAGAGCGGTCCTTAAAATGTCACTTTTTAGTCAGAAAAAGATACTGGGGAACTGGATTTACGTTTGTAAGCTTTCCAGCCTTGCTATTATTTACACATCTGCCGAGGGGCAGGTAAGCTGTGCCATCCTAGGGGGTATGTAGCAGACCCCCACAGTTCCTCAGTTGCTCGATGGAGGACCCGTAAATATGTCTTTGGGTGAATGAGAACTGTGTGCCTGAGTGATGTCTGTTTATCCTTAGGAGTTACTCCATTGTTACAGGGACCAACGTGTCCCACTCTGAGGCATTCTGTTTACTTGTTTTTGGGGGCAGCAACAATTGTACCAAGTGCACGTGTGGAGGTCAGAAGATAGCTTGCTGGAGGGAGTCAGTTCCGTTTCAGTTCTGGGGCTTGAACTCAAGTCCCCAGGCGTGGCATCAAGTACCTTCGCCCATTGCGCCATTGCGCCATCTTGGTGTGCCCATTGTCACAGACTTGACGGTGCATACACACCCTTTGGTAGAAAGTGTGCCTCAGCTTTACTTTGATTTTGTTATGGGTGAGATGACATCTGGACGGTATAACCCTGAGAACAGCATGGCCGCCACTGTGTCCCGACAGCGTTCCCTGGCTCTGTTTGTGCATGTGTCTCGCTGTGTGCGATCAGTCTGTGCAGTGCTGCAGTGTGACGCCGCTCTATTTGTTAGCGGGATTTATGGTGACATCATAGGCAGAGGGAGCAGCTGCTTGCAGAGTGTCGTTTTCATTAACTCCTTGTTTCTGAAGGCTGGCTGCCAGCGATTGCAAGGCCTCTGTCACACCCTTCCCGCAGCCCATCCTGGTGGGAATTTTCTTCCCCTATCCCTGCCTAGTACGCATGGCCAGTGACATTTTTAGCTAACTGCCTCTTGGATACTGTGCCTCCAGTTATTTAGCGAGGGGAGTAATTAAGTTCCCATGCCATCAGCGGTCTCCTTGGCACCCAAACATTAGCTGTTACCATCACCTGTTGCTGTCGTTTGTTTCTGTTAGCTGTCCTGTAACTTGCTCTGTAGACCAGGCTGGCCTTGAACTCACCTCTACCTCCAGAGTGCTGGGATTAAAGATGGCGCCACCATGCCCTGCTTACTGCAGTTACTTGGTTTCAGTAGGAAGGAAGTTGCCCTTTTAAAGGGCAGTAGGCAGGGAAATGAGGCACGATGCTCTGAAGCTGTGAACTCTGTGTGGCTCGGGTGGGAACGCAGACTAACTCGGTTAGTGAGCACGCGTGGGATACCGACCGCTAACGTGTGGCTGGTGCTGTTCGCGCCGGGGCAGTTAGAGGCCTCTTGTGTGCAGTTAACTAGGGTTACTGCTCCGGCTGCAGTCCCAGCTCACCCCACTCCCGCATCCCAGGCCCAATACCACCGCTGCCACGGTGCCAGGAGGGGCGTGGGGTCAGAAGCCCTGGGGTAAGACAGTTCAGCACAAAACCCTTGCTGGGGAGAAGATACTACTGGCCACCAGTAAGAAGCTCAGTGGGTGGACGCTTCGGCCACCAAGCCTGACAACGTGGATTTCTGTCTTTGAGACCGACATGCAAGAAGGAGAGAGCGACTCCCAAAGCTGACCTCTGACCTCCACACCCGTGTGCTGCCGTGACTCACTTTGTGTGCACATACAAAATAAATAATGTGATTTAAAGTCTTAATGAGAAATCCGTAATACTACATTGTCATGCTTGAATGTTCTTATTTTTTTATATGAAGCATCAAATAAAATGAAATACTAATACACTCAGCCACGAGGTTGGACAGGAGTTTTTTTTTTTTTTTTTTTTTTTTTGCCATATTGGCTTCGTGTCTTACTTGAGAGAAGCGTCACAAGCTATGGCTGGAAAACCACCCTTGTCCTTCCTTCATCCGGGAGGGGCATCTTCTCCAACCCCTCACTTGTTCCTGTTTTCAGTTGTGTTCACGTGTTTCTACATGTGTGTTTGCGGCATGAATCGTTCACATAGTACCTGTCCCCATGACTTCTCACCGAGGTCGCTCAGAAAGTGACCCCTCTGGGGGAGTGTCCCCACTGAGCCTGTCCCTGCTACAGAAGCAAGTGAGACAGGACAAACCTCCTGTCAGCAATTCCTAGTCTCTTTTTGAGACAGGGTTTCTCTGTGTGGCCCTGGCTGTCCTAGAACTTGCTCTGTAGACCAGGCTGGCCTCGAACTCACAGAGTTCCGCCTGCCTCTGCCTCCTGAGCGCTGGGATTAAAGATGTGTGCCACTACCGCCTGGCTCTTTTTTTTTTTAATAATTTATTTATTATGTGCATATGTATGTGTGTATGAGGGTACTGGATCATCTGAAACTGGGGTTACAGGTGGTTGTGACTGTCATGTGGGTGCTGGGAATTGAACTCAGGACCTCTGGAATAGCAGTTGGTGCTCTTAACTGCTGAGCCATCTTCCAGCCCTTCTATTTAGACTTTTTGATTTATGCTGTTCATACTAGATGTCAAGTGGTGTCTCATCATTTTTAGTTTATTGTGTATGTGTTGGTGTGTGTGTGTTGGTGTGTGTGTGTGCACATGTGCCCACAGAGGCTGGAAGAGTGTGTGGGATTCCCTGTAGCCTGAGTAGCAGGTGGTTGTGAGCTGCCCAGCACAGATCCTGGAGACTGAACACAAGTCTTGAGGAGCAGCAGCGACAGCAAGGGCCCTTAGCCACTGTGCAGTGTCTGTGCCCTCGTCATTTTAACTGGTGGTTTCCTAGTTACCAGAGAGATGACTGTCTTCTCACACATCTGTTGGTTCCCAGGTGTGTGTGTGCGCGTCCGTGTTCTGCGGCCCAGGCTCCTTGCTTAGCATAGGGTTGCCCTTGCACGTGGGGCTGCAGCACTTGGGATAGTGTCTCGTCAATAAAAGTGTACAAATACCATGTATTGGTTAATTCTCAAGGCGGGGTAATTAGATACTGTGCTGGAAGAGCCAATGACATTGACAGATTGTATCGAGTGCTTGTTGTGTGGTGAGTCATCTTCATTTATTTTACCCAGATCTCCATACTGTACTTGTCTTGATTGGCCCCACATTGTTGGGCTGGCTTGTTAGCATGTAACACGTGTGCTGTGTGGTAACTCTGAATCTCTTCTCCTTAGTGGGTTGTGGGACCAGGCGGGATGTCTAGCCTGGTGTGAACTAGGCTATCTGGCGTGTGTTGATGGAGTGTTCAACTTTGCCCTTTAGCCCCTGTGCAGTAGCCCCAAGTTTCTTTTAGACTAAACAGCCGGTTTTTCTGAAGAGGTCACCATGTATACCCCAGTAGCTTGTTCTCGTAAACTGGGGGCTGAAGCAGTCGAGAGCTTGTGCTGGTCTTGATCCAGCTCAGTGGGATCCAGCCCCCCTGGCCCACAGGTACGGCACTCCTCTACCCACAGACTCCGTAATTTAGAATAAAATAAACTTTTACATTTTAAGTACTACCAAAGGTTCCCCTTAACCCTGTAAAACAGTATGGCTGCTATAGGAGTGTATTTTGATAAAAAGACATGAATTCTTTTTGCTGTTTTTTTCCTCTTTTCTCCCCCCCACTCTCCCCCCACCCCTCATTCTTTGTTTTCCAAGTCAGGGTTTCTCTGTGTAGCCCTGGCTGTCCTGGAACTCACTCTGTACATCAGGCTGGCCTCAAGTTCAGAGATCCACCTGGCTTTCTTTGCTGTTTTTAATGCAGACAAAATATTTTGGTTCCAGAACTTTGGGTCCTTGTAATGTGGTGGAGCTCCATTGGTGGTAATTGTAGAGTGAAAAGTGGATGGATCTTACTAGTTGGCACCGAGGAAGGCAAACATGGTCATATACGGACCGCGGCGATTGGGGCGGTGATGGCTGCATATGTGCCGATGGCGTCGGGATCACCCAGTGACATGATCATTTTGTCTCTTCTTTCAGACTGGGCGAATTGACAAATCCTACCCTACAGTATGCGGCCACACGGGACCCGTGCTGGACATAGACTGGTGCCCACATAACGATCAGGTTATTGCCAGCGGTTCAGAGGATTGCACTGTGATGGTAAGCTCCTGGGTGTGGCACACGCATGTACAGGCCTTAAAAAGTAGGCATTCTAGCCATGCTGACTCCATTGGGTTATACATCAAGGCTTGATGGCCAGTTGTCCTGTGCGTTCTTTTCTGTCTGGGGGGTGGGGTGGACTACCTGACCCTGGCAGTTGACATCTGCAGGAAAGATTTGGGTGCAGAGCAACAAAATGCCAAAGAGTTGTGCAGCTACTACAGTAGAATAACAGCAGGTATGGGGCAGTGGGAGCTTGCCAGGGCTGGTTTCCAAGCTGCTCAAGAGGTGTGTCTGCTTTTGTGTTAGCCTTAACTGGTGCTCTACACATATACTGCCTATGTACACTCTGTAAGTGCAGCTCCCACACTGGCCAAAGAGGGCGCTGGAGCTGGAATTAACAAATCTTTGTGAGCTTGAACCCAGGTCCTTAACCACCGAGCCGTCTCTCCAGCCCCAGAAAGTTTGTTTGGAAAAAGATCTTTCTTGCTAGGTGACCCATGCTGGTGTTGAAATTCCTAGGCTCTGGTGATCCTTCTGCCTCGGCCTGAGTGTACACTTTCCCTCAAGTAGGATTACTGATTTGGATCAATTCTCAGTGTCAACTAAACATACGCTGGAGTCACTTAGGAAGAGAGCACATCAGTAGAGGAAATGTTCCCACTAGGTCGGTTGTGGACAAGCCTTTGGGGCATTTCCTTAACTAATGATGGATGGAGAAGGTCCAGCTCACTGCGGGCAGTGACACCCTGGACTCGTGCCCTGGGCTCTGTAAGAAAGCAGGTGGAGAAAGCCAGTGAGCAATACCCCTCCATGGCTCTGCATAAGCTCCTGCCTCTAGGTCCCTGCCTGCCCTGAACCCCCCTCAGCGATGGATAACTGCAAAGCTGAGTTAACCCTTTCTCCCCCAAATTTCCTTTGGTTGTGGTGATTAGCACAGCAGTAGAAACCCTGACTAAGACACAACATTTCCCCAAGATATGTCAGCAAAGTTAGATGTGAGTAGGGCAGATGGGGGCTGCTGTTGATCACCTCAGAATGAGCTGTAGTCCACCTCAGGCAGAGCTGGGAGAACCCACTCCCTCCATTTCTTCCTGGTGTCTGGATCAAACCCTGTTTAGGACGCTTTATTAACTAGAATGGTGTAGACAGATCAAGTCCCTGAACTGCGCATTTGAACATGCCCTACCTTCCTTCCTTTGTTGTGGGCTTTCCACAGCCGAGAGCATATCCTGTGCTAAATTGATAGCCATTGACTGACAACTGCGTTTGCTACTGGAAAGGAACACAGGTTAGTCCTGCTGCGAGAGTGTACAGCTGAGAGTCCCCACTGCTGTGGAAGAAACTGATGTGATCTGTTTCCTTGTTGCTAGCCTTGCTGATCATGTTACCCACTAAAGCAATCACTTCCAAGGCTGGAGAAATGGCTCAGAGGTTAAGAGCACAGGCTATACTTCCAGAGGTCCAGAGTTCAATTTCCAGCACCCACATGGTGGCTCACAGCCATCTGTGATGAGATCTGGTGCCCTCTTCTGGCCTGCAGAGATACATGCAGAACACTGTATACATAGTAAATCCTTTTTTTTTTTTTAAATCCATAAAACACCAGTATTTAAAGAATTTAGCGGTAAATGAATGGAGTGGGCTGGGTGGTTTCTTACTCCGCCACCCTGTGTGTCTCCCCTGCACGCCCTCTACTCTGTGACCACTGTGTCTCTTCAGGATGTTTCTCGCTCATGCATGCCTCTCTAAATACCAGGTCAGCATTGCGATTTAAAAACTGCACAGTGACCCGTACGCCTTCCTCAGTCTGCGCGCTTTCTTAGACGCGCTTGTCGGCAGAGCGCTGTTGCCTGGTGTGCACTGTTCAGCTGTGTGGGTTTGCTGACTGTGTCCGTCTGGAGCAGGTCAGGGACTCTGGCCTGAACTTGCTGCAGATGTGAAGCTCGGTGCCAGAGCTGATGTAGGCCCAGTCCCTGGGGCAAGGCTCTCATGGTTCTGTCTCTTGGGTCTGCACAGCTATTAGAGCTTCGTCCCTACAGCCAGTGACTCATAAAGGAGCCCAGAGTGGCCCTCGTAGGCTCCTCCTGTCCTGTTTTCAAGTTTGAGCCAAATTTTACCCAGTGCTGCTCTCTTCCTTTCTGTTCAGTTGCCTGGTATTCTGGATTTTGCATGGGGTGGGGGCTCAAGCACCTGATTCTTCAGCTTTTCCAAGGCGACAAGGTAGCACTCCGTCATCCTCAGAAAAATGAAGTTTTTCCTTCACTTTATTTGAACTAATGAATTTGAGCATATCTGATCAGTGTCAAAACTGCCTTGTGGATACAGGGAATTGAACCTGGGGCCTCTGGAAAGGGAGCCAGTGATGTAACTGAGGAGCCCTCTCCCCAGCCCCTGACAGTTTATGAGGAGGTCAGAAGCAGCTTAAACCCATGCTGTTGCTATACTCCATCCATTTTCTATTGATGTTCAAGCCTGGTGTGAAATCAGCTTGATCTCACACCTGTTCCCACAACACTCTGGAGGCTTCGAGAAGAAGATCATAAGTTTGAGAGCATCCTGGGCTGTCCTGTCAATAAAAAGAAATGGTGATCCCTCAGGATTGGTTCAGGGGCTACCACCGACCCGGAGTGTAGAATGCGCAGATGTTCCAGTCGTCTGCCTTCAGTGTCTGGTGTTGCATGTAACCTATGTGTCTGTTATTCATAGATCTCCTGTACAGATCTGTGTACAAAGATATGTTCCACCCAGCACAGTGTCAGTACCATGTGAATGGTCCTTAAGCTGTATTGGTTAGGAAATAAGTCTATACATGTCCAGTACACCTTTATCTCCCTCCACCACACGCACACACACACACCTGCAGTTGGCAAACTCATGACGCACAGATGGGGTCTAGCTGGGTATTGTTTAATTTCCTTTTGGCAAATGGTGTTGCTATGAAAGTCAGATAATTAACTTTCTTACCAGTCATTTCTTTTTGCTTAGTTATAAAGTTTTTTCAGACTGTTATTTTGTTGGTAATTCAGAATCAGTACTCCTAAATACATGGTGTGCTACATTTATAGTTCAAGTCTTTTAAAAAAAAATTGTTTTAATGGGCAGTGTATGGGGCCCCTGGTAATGGAACAGCATTTATCCCTAGTGTACGAATGGACACTGGGAGCCCATTCCCCATAGAGGACACTCTCTCAGCCTAGACACACAGGGGAGGGCCTAGGCCCTGCCCCAAATGATGTGACAGGCTTTGATGATCCCTCTTTCTATGGAGCAGAAGAGGGATGGGATGGGGGCTGGTGGGGGTCATGGGAGAATTGGAGGGAGAGGGAACTGGGATTGATATATAAAATAAAATTGTTTCTAATTTAAATAATTTTTTTTTAGATTTTAAAAATTTTTTATGTGTATGAATGTTTGGTCTGCATGCATATATGCTCACTAAATGTGTGCCTGGTGCCCAAAGAGGGCATTGGCTCCCCTGGAACTAGAGCTACAGATAGTTATTTTATGATCTGCCACATGGGTGCTTGGAACAGAAGCCAGGTCCTCGGCAAGAAGTCCGTGGTCTTAACTGTGAGCCATCTTTCCAGTCCCCTAGTTTCAAGTCATCCCCCCAACCCTGGAAAGTTATCCCAAATTAGCAGGGTTTGTTGTTGTTTTTTTGTGAAATCGATTCTTGCAGTGTAGTTGAGACTGACCTCGAGCCCACGATGTCCTCTCTTCCCTGTGCTGAGACTGTAGACGTGTCCTATTTTGCGCAGTTTGGCGGCTCCTGTGACCTGTTCCTGCCTTCAGTATTTGGTATTTGTCGGTTTATTCCAGACTTCGTCGTAGTTGTACTTTGAGACACTCACTGTGCAGCCCTCTGGCCTGGAACTTCTGTGTAGACTAGACTAGCTTGGAGTTGACAGAGATCTGCCTGCCTCTGTCTCCTGGGTGGGATTTGCACACCTGGGTTTTGCTCCAGGACTTTTTTTTTTTTTTTTTCCTTCTTCCTTTCTTTAGAGTGTAGGTCTTGTTGATGTATCTTCCATCCAGTTTCCTTTTGTGTATAGTTCTCGTTTGATTCGGTCTAGTGCCAAGTCCTACAGCCTTTGCCTTTTTTGGCTTGGTAGTGAAGCTACAGTCTTTGGACGAGAAACGTGACCCCTAAATGCCAGTGACTTCATCGAGGCTCGTCCTCCCCATTGGTCTGAGTGAAGGCACCGGTGGACCAGATGTCCGTCCAGTCTTCCCTTGAGAGTGCACTTAGAATGCACCCAGGAAGACAATGCGTGTGCTCCCCTTGCTTAGTCTCTGGTCTGTCCTTGAGGAGCAGCCTACTTGGAAGATGAACTGGTGAACCAACAGCCCGTGTTTGCAGCTGACTGCAGAGTGGCTTCTTGGGATGCTGCAGCCCATACAGCAGGGGTGAGGTGGGCGTGCCCTGCAGTGCCAGTGCCCTCCCAGCTCTTTACAACAGCTGGCGCCAGCTGCCATCTTCCCCTGGGCCCTTGTTCCCCTCACTCTCGTGGGCGCCTTCTTTTTATTTGGAGTACACTATTGTTTATGTTTGTGTTTTACTTTATGTGTCTGTGTGCTCACATGAGTTTATGTGCACCATGTGCGTGCAAGAGCCACAGAGACCAGAAGACTGGGATTAAGGTCGTGAGCCACCAGTGGGGGCTAGGAATTGAACCCAGGCCTCTGCAAGGCAGTCAGTGCTCATAACTGTTGAGCTCGCTAGTGTGCCCCACGCACGAGACAGGGTTTCTCCGTGGCTTTGGAGGCTGTCCTGGAACTAGCTCATCTCGAACTCACAGAGATCCATCTGCTGGCCTCTGCCTCCTGAGTGCTGGGATTAAACGTGTGTGCCACCAACGCCCGCCCCACCCCTTCATTTTTTAAAGTGATTCTTTTTAATTCCTAATTTTTTCATTTGTCTTTTAAAATTCCAGTTCTGACTTATGTTTCTTTTTTCTTAATGTCCTTTAAGTCTCACTTTGAAATAGTATACTGGT